AGAGCTCCTCCCATCTTGTATTTAAATAATTCCATATTTCATCTTGAAGATAGAGCTGCTTATTCCTTCCAGTTAAATTTGGCATTTGAGTTTCAGTCCTTTGATGAGGCAATGGTCGTTGATGATCACCCAAGATCAGTTTTCAAACGATACAGTTCTTCAATCAGATGAGCATTTCAAAACTAAAAAGAAGACAAGCTTCATCCTTGAAGTCCTTGAATGCCAACGGAAAAAGCCCTGCTCTTCCAGGAGCAGTGGTGAGTTTCATTCTCTCCCCTCCAATTCTCTTATCACTGAATGTGAACCTCCCAGGTAAGAAAACATCGCTAGCTGACTCAATAGCTGACAAGTCTACGCTCAAAGCACTTGGCATGCCATGATGCTGGAAGGAGTGGATGCCAGCCAGCACACCCTTCATCACCTGCAAAACTCTTCCCTGCTTTATTTTACCAAGTTTTATATGTCCTCCCAAACTGACTCACATAAGAGTATCTATCTGTTCAAGGATAATGGAAATGCATTTCCATACAAGAGCAGCACAATCATTTTATTACAAATATGAAAGCAACTCCGATGTTGCTCCTGGAGGAGCCCTGGCCTCCCTGCAGCTTCCTCACCTCCGCCTTATGCTCACCTCCACTGTGGTTCCTTTCTCCCTTGTATTTTTAGTGTTTCTTTAATCGCGTGCATTTTCGGACATATCCAAAAATAGAAAGAAATGGGCCCCCCAGGCACCCCTTTACCCACCTTTAGCAATTACGAACACTTTTCAAATCTTATTTCATCCATTTCTCTCTGACCTAGTTTGTTTCTCCCCCCGCCCCCCGCCCCCGGAACATTTTAAAACAAATCCCAGACACCCATCAGTTCACCAGTCTTACACCCACTTCTGCATTTATCACCCTGTAGTGGAATTTGTTTGCAATGGCATTTTCCCGTTGGTCTGCAAGAATGGGGTGTCCTCTATGGCTTTAGCAACCAGCACGCAAACTGGCCCATGGTAGGTGGTCAGGAAACACTTGGAATTCAAATGTGTGAGTAAGGGCAGCTGCTTTATTGCCATAGACTTAAGAACATAGGTCTTGGGGCACCTGGGTGGCTCAATGGGTTAAGCGTCTGCCTTTGGCTCAGGTCATGCTCCTGGGGTCCTGGGATCGAGCCCCATGTTGGGCTCCCTGCTCAGCAGGGAGCCTGCTTCTCCCTCTCCTGCTCCCCCTGCTTATGCTGTCAAATAAATGAATAAATCTTAAAAAGAAAAAAAAAAAACATAGGTCTTAACTCAAGAATGCACAATGCCTCAGTTATCAAAAACATGCTCAGCCCAAGACTCATTATTTAGGACCAAGCACCTGCAGCGTTAGGACGGTGGCCACGTGCAGTGCCTGGACTTGAATCCCAGCTCTGCCTCCACTTGCGGTGTCGCTGGTATGATGGACTGTATGTTCCAGAGCCGGTGGCAGTTTCTCCTGTCCCACAGTGTTCTTCCCGTTTCCCCATCTGGAGGTGGAGTTTATATTCCCTCCTCCTGAAGCCGGGTGGGCTTGTGGCCACAGTGGAAGTGCTGTTACGTGGTAGCCCGGGTGAGGTCACAAAAGGCAGGGTGGTTTCCACCTTGCTGCCTGGGGCCCTCATGCTGGAGCCCCCGGGCCCCTGGTAAGGTCCTGAGACTCGATGAGCACAGACTCCCAGCTAGCCCCCACCCGCTTTAGCTCCTGGTTCCATTCCCGCCTATTCTAACTGCAGTTATGGTCGGACCATAACTGCCCGAGTGACCCCAAGCCAGAATTGCACAGCCACGCCCCTCCCGAATCCCTGACTCACTATGACCGTGAAAGATGATGATTGTTGTTTTAAACCGTCAACTATTGGGGTGATCTGTTCTGCAGCAAGAGAAAACCAGACCACTGGCTCTCTGTGCCTCAGTTTACACATTTTTTAAATGTTTCCTACACATTAGGCTATTGGGGGTATTAAAGAGGTAAGAACATCACTGGCACATGACAGCACTGAATAAATGCTGGCAATCATCACTTGGGAAATACACACAGTTTAGAAATCTTGCCCAACCTAATAAAGATAATATTTGCAAGATCTCATTTGCCACGCATGCTGATACCTTGAATAAGGGTTGTAATTACATAAATAAAAAATCAACTTCAAAGTTACTAGGAGTTCTTTCAATAATTAAAAAGAAAACAGAATTTTTTAAAAATGCTTTGACTTCGCTTCTACTTCCCTGTCTGGTAAAACATGCTTCAGAAAGCAGACACAAGTATGAGGAAATTGAGTGGAAGAGAAAGTTTCTCACAAATCCGATCTTTGAAGAAAACCTGAGTATAAACAATGAATTTATTTTTCACGAAAACATGGGATTTTATACTCATTTAGGGAGTCTTACGGGGCTCAGATGTGTCTGAGAATGACACTGTGTGCTAAAATAAAAGGAAGATATTTTTGGAGCTCACCAAAGGATGGCATGAGTATCATTTGTGAAAAATGTTTCAAAACAAATCCATATGCATAAAAAAAGGCATCTGAAATGCCAGGATAATAAAATAAAATGTGAATTTGTTTTCTTATATATCTTAATGCACAGGATCCATGATTTTTAACTTAGCATCCATTCATAACACTTCAGTTAGAGAGGATTTACAGCATGAGAAAAAGGGGAGGGGGAAGGGGGGCAGGAGAAAGTGCACATCCCTATCTGGTGTCACGTACTCATTTAATAATCTCTCATCACCAATGCTGCACATCACTGCTTCTCGAAAATTATAGTCACAGCTATTTATTTACTGTACCATTAATACAACTCATCCCTAAGTATTTTCTACACTAGGAGTTGGGACACCTAAGGTGCCTTTTCAGGGGTTTTAGGTCAAGAGGGGGAGCTTCAGGAAGGTATTTGCTGGGACATGAGCCCTCCCCATTAGAAGGGTAAGTCTGACTTTTCCACTGAAAAGCGGCCTGTCACTCATTACAGTGCCAACGTGGGAAGCCCAACTCAGAATTCTTAACAGCTATTATCAGGGACGGTATCAACTGGAAGACGTTTCATATTCTGGGTGGAGATACAATATGGGCCATGAAAGAAAGGACTGAATTAAAGCAAAAGAATCCTTCCTTTAAGTAACATGGAAAACATTTTTTAAAAAATCCACTCTAGGGGTGCCTGGGTGGCTCAGCTGGTTGAGCGTCTGCCTTTGGCTCAGGTCATGATCCCAGGGTCCTGGGATCGAGCCCCGCATCGGGCTCCCTGCTCAGCGGGAAACCTGCTTCTCCCTCTCCCACTCCCCCTGCTTGGGTTCCCTCTCTCGCTGTGTCTCTCTCTGTCAGATAAATAAATAAAATCTTAAAAAAATAAAAAAAATAAAATAAAAAATCCACTCTAGGAGTCATGCTCCATAAAACCTTTTAAAGAATTCAAGGATAAGGAGCCTAAGACTTTATGAGGAAAACTGAGTTGAAATTGCAAATTTAACTTTTAGGGCCGTAAAATACAAAATTAGGCAAATTAAGAATTTTTTCTCCCCCAGACATTATCACCCTCCTCCTCCTCACACTTGACACTCAATAATCTCATCTCTGATTATCGAGTGCTTACCTTCATGATACAGGAGGTCCAACTTCAGTGTATCCCTCCCCCAAATTTATAATGCTTTATTAAAAATGTATCCCTGAGTGGTGTGTGAGACTGGTAGAGCAATAGAGAGAACCAGATGGCATGCAGTAAAAAACAGAAGGTAAGAGACTTCCATGTGGACAATGATGGTGGCTGATGGCCCGGAGGCAGGAAGGGAAAGGCTGTGAGGTTCCCCCCAACACCTGTAACCTGACTTCGTCAACAGCTCCTGCAACACGGTGACAGTTTTGATTTTTTGGACCCAGGGAAGATGATGATTTCATGTATTTTTGAATTCAAATTTTCAATTTAAAAATAAGAAAACAGAATATATTCACAGTAGAATTCATTATATGGGAGAAGTCCCGGTTGGGAAAGGGTTATTCTATTGCCAACTCTGAGGATGATCGAGGGAAAGCACAGAGCTGTTTATTTGGTGTAGAGTAGCAGAGTTACACAGACCACAGGGACGTCAATGCTAATAATTTTAAGGTGCATGCCGGTGACTGATTCATTCTAACACCTACTTCGTGTTTGACGATGGCAGTGTGAACATCTGAGATCTTTATTACATAAGCCCTGCACCAGACCATCTTCATATTCAAAGGAACCTGTGAATTTTTCAAGCTGCAGATTATATCCCGTTAGTGGGTCATGAAGTCAGTTTGGTAGGTTACACTAGGGATGTCTTTTAACAAAACAGAAGAGGATATAAAATATATGAGCATATAGAATATAAGTATTTCATGATCTTGTTTCAGTTTTAGACATTTACACATATACACATGTATGTACTCATGTATGTACTCAACTATATAAACACTGACACATTCTGATAACACAGACCCTCCAGTAGATGCAGGCATATTCTTTTCAGCCTTCCCATTAAAACAATAATAATAATAATAATAATAATAATAATAATACAGATGTCACTGGTTGAGCACTACTGTGGGTCAGCCACTGTTCCCAAGCTCTTCTCATGTATTAATTGTTATTATTCTCCTAATAAGGCTAGGAGATGGGTATTACCATCATCTACACCTTATAGACAAGAAGACAGAGATATGCAGAGGGTAGGTAACTTGAACACGTTCCCAGCAAGCAGCAGAGCTGGACAATCTGTGGAGACAAGCTCCTGTGGTCTCTACCTGAAAAGCCGAGAATGAAGGGAACCCGTGTCCTCCTGAGACAGAGAGCCCGTTTCACTGTCCAAGTCTCCCCGAAGGCTAGCAGAGCAAGTCCTAGAACTCAGATCTCCCAATTTCCAAACCTATGCTCTCCCTAGACCTCATACAACAGTATTCTTAGTAAAAGCGACTTTGTGAAGCTGAAATCAAACAAGCTTAAAATAAATGAAAGATACATATAAGTGTCCTTGAAAGAGAATGTATTTATTTACATCACTATTTCCTTTTTACAACTCCTACGCTTTTAAATAATAAAATTTTCCATGAAATCCGATAAGCTTTAAATTAAGATATTTTAACAGAAGAAAATTATTACAATATGATTTTTATTTACATGAATTTCCAAGAGTTTTAAATAGTTCCTTTTGAAACGGCACAATATAACTGAAAGCTCTCATTTAGAACTTGCAACCTTTTCCAAAACTTTTAGTTTAAGAAATTAAGCTTATAATCACCTCCTTGTAGCTTGGATTCTTAGAGATGAAAATCTGTTAACACACTTACAAATACAAAACCTGCTTCATCAATGATCCACGTTTTGGCGCAAGCTGAACCTCTTTCACATGTTTCGACACCAAGCAGAGATTTTTTTAGACACCTTAAGTCGTTTTGATTAAAACTTTCTGGAAGTTTTCTGGATCAGTCACACAACTGCTTACGAGTTGGGACGTATGGATTCTGAGCACTCAATTCAATGTACGAGGACGGGCTGATCTCCGGTTCAGCCAACTCTGAAAGTGACGCACCGGGATTCGGAACTTCCCTGGGGCAGCTTAGGTGCACTTTCCTCCCCATAGCCAGTCCTGTTTGGGAGGCTCCCTTTTCCTCTGATACTGCACATGCGAATCACTTACTTTAAGAACCTACTGTTCATAAAACTACTTCCAACAATAACAATGGTCAGACATCCTTCCATGTCACACTGAGAGATTTCACATATTTATTAGTGAAACTGTAAGAGAGGATAGATTTTCCTAATATTTTAAGCATGAGTTCCTCTGAAGAGTTGGTGTAACAACCATTAAAAAATAGAAAATATTAACTTTTACCATGATCAAAGCTACAGTTCACAATGAAAAACCTCTATAGCTCCGTCCACCTTCTCTGTAAGAACAGCCAAGGGCCAGTCTCGAACTTCATGCGGCAGCAATAGAGGTATCATCCACGAGCCGGCCCTGTGGCTTGAAAGAGGGGAAACAAGACGGGTTTATAAGACAGTAACAACAAAAGCTCTATTAATTGAAAAGATTTCAAAATTCTTGGAACTGTTTCACAAAAATGGAATAAACATGTTCAAGTATCAAAATCACATTTGTTTCTCTCCTTCTTTCACCCCACCTTCTTGCTTCACTTGAACCTGGGGGGGCGGCAAGCTTCAGGGCCAAGGTGCTGCACCTGTCCCCTCTGCCCCCAGACACCGACACTGCCAGTCGACCGCATACCTCCCCTGGCTGAATCCGCCTCAGTCACTAATTCTCTCCACCCTGGGTCCTAGCAGCTACTGATCGCGCACCGGGAGCGTGGGAAAGGGAACCCATTTGCCATTCCTGCTTCAGGGATAGTTTTATTTTCTCTCTTGCTCAGGGCCCTCCTGCATCCCACGCTTGAAGAAGGCCACAAACCTGAGCTGATAGACAAGTTCCTTGGGGATTCAAGGTCTCCCAATCTCCCTGTTTGTAAGAAAAAGCAATTCACAATGAACTAGAATATCTAACAATGAACACTACAAGGATGGAAGCAGCAGATAAAAACAAAAATTTCCCTTTCCCTAAGGTCACTGAAAAAAACTTAAAACATCATATCACAAGAGTAAAGGCTACGAATGAATAAAAGGTGTCGTGACTGTACTTAGAGGTAAAACTTCTGACAGGTTAGCAATACCCCAGGGAGTCATCAAGGAACTGAAAAAATTAAACTCTTGCAAATAATCTTACTAAGCGGATGTACATTAGCAGACCTTTGTGGGAAAAGCATGAGATGGTATTCAGGACATGAAATAGAACAGTGTTACAACATCATCACCAAAAGCCACTGGCTGGGCTTGAAGCAGAATGGTTCCGGTGAGACTCCCTGAGACAGGGAGGGAGCACTCCTGCTTTCAGTTTTATTGCTGTACGCTTTATGCATGCATGTGCGCGCGTGTGTGTGTGCGCGTGTACACACACGTGTGTGTATGCATGTGTGCGCGCGAGTGTGTGCGCGTACACATGTATGCATGCATGTGCACGAGTGTGTGTGTGCGCGTACACACACGTGTGTATGCATGCGTGTGCGTGAGCGCACACGTGTGTGCACATACATATACATGTGTGTGCATGCATACGTGTGTAAGTTAGGCCTCTGACATTCAAGCAGGAACGGAATGAATTAAAGAACAGGTGCTTGGTCTTTTGTACTTCACGTAATCTTTAGTACTGATAGAGGGTGTTCAGTTTCAGAAACGGAATAATGGGGGCACCTGTGTGGCTCAGTTAGGCGTCTGCCTTCAGCTCAGGTCATGATCCCAGGGTCCTGAGACTGAGCCCCACGTCTAGCTCCCTGCTCAGCAGGGAGTCTGCTTTTCCCTCTTCCTCTGCCCCTCTCCCCGCTTGTGCTCCCTCTCTAATAAATAAAATAAAATCTTAAAAAAAAAAAAGAAAGAAACGGAGTAATGACTCAACCTGGTTATATCCTTACCAAACACAGCTTTACAAACAGGGACAGAAGACAAGAACATCATGCAATTAGAAAACTGGAATCTACTTTTCAAAGGAAGAAAAATATTAATCCAGCCTTGAAGTAGAGCAGCGCTGTCCAAGAGAAACTTTCTGTGATGATGGAAAAGCTCTAGTCAGTACTGTCCAACATGGGAGCCACCTGTCACACTGATTTACTGGTCACTTCAAGTGCAGCTAGTGCAACTAACCAATTCTTAAATTAAAATAAATTCTAATTAACTGTAATTTACATCTCGGTAGGGCTCACATGAGTAGTGGCTATCATACTGGAATAGCATAGCTCTGGAGTTTACTAAAGGTGTGAAGGGATGTACGACTTGAGTCAGTAAGACTTCACTAAGTGGGAAAAGGGTAATCCTTAGTCACAGGTCAAACAACTGTCACTCTAAGACTTCCCAGCTGATAAAGGAGCCGGCTCTGAGGATCCCAGCCAACTTTTTTGGCAGCAGTCAGGTTACTAGAAGGTAGTACTTATATTTAGAAAAAAGAGCATGGCAGTTAGGAAAGGGCATGCTAGCTATGCTAAAACTTACAAATGTTTATTTTCCTGGAACCTTTCCTTATGGATTTAAGCACTACCCGGCAAAGGCTTACTGTGGAAGAACAGCAGAAGACTGAACTAGCACAAGCTGGGATTAGGTTGGGTGTACTGAGCCCTACAGGGAAAAGAATGAAAGAGATTCATCAGCGGATCCGAAATCCTGATTCCCCAAAATGATCAACTGTCACGTCTCAAACAGGCGGTGTTTGTAGAGCTCTGTCTATGCGGATACCTACTCCCACGCTAACTAAAGCTGTACTTCTGAATTTGGGAACAGCACGCTTCAGAAGGTCACCCATGCCGCCACTGCTCCCCACCTGGGTCTCAAGACTTTTCCCCTGCAGGGTGACCTCAGACACGACAGGAGGAACAGCAACAGACGTGGCTTGTGAATGTGAACAGGTGGAAATGTTTAAAAAGCCACTGCCGGGGCGCCTGGGTGGCTCAGTGGGTTAAGCGTCTGCCTTTGGCTCAGGTCATGACCCCAGGATCGAGCCCCAAGTGGGGCTCCTTGCTCAGTGGGGAGTCTGCTTCTCCCTCTGTCCCTTCTCCCACCCCCTGCTTGTGTGCACGCAGTCTCTCTCTAATAAATAAATAAAATCTTTTTAAAAAATTAAAAAAATTAAATTAAAAATTAAAAATATTAAAAAATAAAAATAAACTGCTGTTGGGGCGGGGTAGAGGTTATGTGGGATATCTCTGTACTTTCCTCTCAATTTTACTATTAACCTAAAACTGCTCTAAAAAAAATTCAGTCTTTTCAAAAAGCCACTATTTAAACACAGGAGATCTGTAAGTATGAGATTTTTCTTTTACAAGTATGGTGCTTGGAAACGTTAATAAATTACTGTTTTGCAGATGGAAAGATAAAAGCTAGGAAGATTATAAAGGATACATCAACACAGACTAATTTATCATTTACCTCATCCCAGACTGTGTAAAGAAGGGACAGTTCCTCCAAATTTGAATAGGACACACACAAAACAGGCAAGAGGAAGCAATGTGACATGTCCTTCCAAAAGGGAGTATAAAGTTAAAACAGAAGACGGTGCACAGGACGCATATATATCCACGTATACCTGAGTTAGAGGAACCCACAACCAGCTGGAGGGAAGCCTTAATGTTAGGCAGCGAGAACAGCTTCAGCGGAGGGGAGCGCTGTGCTGAATGAACCTCCCGCACAGCCCGGTTCGCTCTCTCCCACACCGACCGTGACCATCCGACACATTCCTTTACCCCAGGAACCTGCACACGGTCCCCGTGTACAACATCAAAACATTCAACCCGAGTACAGTTTCCAACACGGGATCATTTTCAGAAAAGGCCCCAGTCCAGTATTACACAGGGAATTAGGAACATTCAAGGATCATGTTTAGAAAGCTGATCCATTTTGACTAAAAACTAGTTACAAACTAACTACAATGTAAAAACATACTTTACTAAGCCAAAGAATAAACACGTCAAATGAGCCTGCGAAGGTAAATCATTATCTACCTAAGGGAATGAAAACCTTTGAAATTAGATTCTGTGAAATAATAGCAACTTTACACAAATGAACAGCAATACTGCCAAACTCATATTGTAACAATCAAAGCTATCAGTCTCAAAATGTTGTTCAGTGAAGCTTACATGAAAGAAATACCTCTGGTTTGTTTTCAAGACAGGAGACTTAAAAGGCAGACAATTTCTAAGCCTTACCTTTACAAAAATACTGGTAGGTATAAAACGCCTGAGCAGTTGATTTGTGAAGTGAGGAAATCTAAGCAGGTTGACGTTGAGAGACGGCAGTTGCTGGTATCCGGCCATCAGAGGGTAGAAATTATATAACATTTCCTGTTCGGTGCCAGGGAGGATCCGTAATCGAATCTATAGCATAACAAGTTGTAGAGAAAGACAATCAAAGGTACATGCTTACAGCATCTTCACAGTGTCACCCCTTAATTATTCACAAGTGACTGGACACCCAAATCTTTCTGGTGAAATGTTCTCTCTCTCCTAATTCCACCTTCCAGATTCTAAAATACAGGTCTGAATTAGTATGACATGAGGACTACACAGATAATAAATGCATTAAAAAAATGTGCGTGATTTCTACCAAGATCCAAACGGCAACTTGCACCAGCTTAAAAAGGGGAACACGACATGGATCAAGATTTTCTGTGTCTGAGACCAGGTAGATTTTTTACAGGCACAGTATGTTATGAGATAACTGGTAGAAAGATATCTTTGTATACATTACGTCAACATAAGACAAACTAGTTGTTTCCGGTGTTTTCTTTTAGGGGATCTTTGTGGCGAGGTAAATGATGTCAGGGGAAAAAAAGATGTTTGGTATCAGATATTTTTATAAATCAGTACGTGAAAAAGATCAGGACACTCTAGAAAAGCTTCCTCATTTGCAAATGAGTACATATAGTATGTACATGTCGTGTACCAATATATAATAGCTAATATGATGTATTCTATGTTATCAACTTAAATATGAATGCACTTACAGTATGTTTCATATATAATTCTATTTTACATTTTACAACAAACATAGCATTCAGAATATGTACAGCACAGATGACTCGTCAGGGTAGACACTTCTGAGTATTAGGACACATTTGTTCTTCTAGTTATGTCCTCGTTGATGAAAAGTATTTACTGACTATTGAGGGGTGTCTGTTATCCACTTTGACAGTAGAAGACAGAATTCTCACTGAAATATGGTTTTGCCTGAAAGTGTATGTTCCATTCAAAAACGTGATGAACTTTTCCACCTCTGATTTGAATGAGTGAATCAAAACACCTGAACGATTTTTTATTTTAAATATAAAATCGTGTCTAAATGTGCCAAAGATGAGTAAGTTCTGTGCAAGATCAAAAATCTCTAAAAAGTTTCACTGATAGTTCAGAAGAGAAATCAGGCTTTTTTTTTTTTTTTTTTCTAAGTAGGCTCCACACCCAACATGGGGCTTGAACTCACGACCCCAAGATCAAGAGTTGCATGCTCTTCTGACTGAGCCAGCCAGGCGCCCCAGAGAATCAAGCTTTTAATATGGGTAATAAGGCCTCTAGGCCTCCAATTAAAAGACACAAATACACACACTCACACACACACTCAGTAGTAATAAAAGGGAAATCTAAAATTTTCAGGAATCCTATTACAGTCCAAGGATTTGTGAATTCTTGTTTTATAAAAAGAAAGAACTTACATGTATGATCTCAATGTGAAAGGGTTACCCACTTAATCCACCTCTATATGAATTATAGTTAATCTTTAAAAGTGGCTAAAAGTGCTCGCTTCGGCAGCACATATACTAAAAGTGGCTAAAAATTTCCTATCAAAATAATAGGGACCACAATCAGCCTTATCAGTTCGTTTGTAAAAACTAAATATATAGCTCTCCATTTCCTGGCCACACTTCTCTATCTACGTAAGCAACCCAATGAGATATGACCTATACCTGTTTGAGACCTGAGAACATGAAGGCATCACTGGGCTCCACAGAAATCTCTACATCTTGAACTAAGCTGGTCTTGTTCCGTAGGTGATACCTGACAGGTAAGGATTCTCTGACACGCCCAAATGATGGCAGATCTGCAGAGAAAGAGGACACATTTCTTTTGGTTAAAAAAAATAGTTCACCATTTATGAGTTCTTTTTGTAAATGAAATTCATTCCGTAGACATAGGATTATTTAAATTAGTGATAATACTGCGCTCTCGCTAAATAAGAAAATTCTTTGATTGCACAACAGCCCATGGGACTATGATAAAACAGGCCCAAAAGAATCGAGTCTCCTTGTAAAGCTGATTGACCTAGAAAGAGTCGTGGCTATCAGGAGGTGAATTATATTTTAGGAATAATTTTTCAAGTCTATAAAACATTTCTATAAATATCCATCACGGTTCAAGAAGGAATGATAGGCATCACGTGCCTCCTGATGGGAGCACACACCATTAGCCATGAAGTATTCTTGCCAAAAACTTGAACCTGAATCTGACCAAGACTATAGATCTCACCGCCAACTCCCAGGGACCCTCAAAAATGATTACAATGCAATCAGCAAAATCCAGACTATGGGAAGCTCTACCGGACTCCATTTCTTTAACAAATGAACAGCAAGGAAGAGGGGCAGGCAGTGGTGGTGAAGGACATGATGGAGTAGAGAGGCGGGGTCTTCCTGAGCATAGATTTCAAAAGTACGAGACATCCATCAGCTGCAATGCGAGACCTTAAAACAATCTAAGGAACCTTCAGAGTCGACCAGGGAAATTGTGACACTGGAATTTGATAATATTAAGAAATTATTCCTAATTTTCAAAGATTTTATTTATGTATTTAGTTATTTGAGAGAGAGAGAAAAACAGTATGAGAGGGGAGAGGGTCAATGATGATAACAGAATTGTGATTATGTTTCAAAAAACCGCTAATATTAAAGATGCAGACAAAAATATTTATAGATGAAATAATAGCTGGGATCTGCTTTAAAATAAGGGGAGCAGGAGGCGTATGTAGAGGTATGGATGAAACAGGACTGATCAGAATCTACTTCTGTAAATGCTGAGCATTTTTTATAATAGAATTTTTTAAACCTTAGAAGCTAAAACAGGTATTCTTCCTGGATTCTTTTCTTCAAGTACAATCTGATGCCGTTACCTGCGTTCACGTGGAGAGGAATGTTTTCTACGATCACGTGTGGCAGAGTGACGGCAGTACTGATGACAGGAACATTCCCCATGGCTGAGGTCCTGCGGCAGAAAAGGGCAGCTTTCAAACCCAGGCTTCCCGCGAAAAGTTAAAAACAGGAAATGTGTATACGCACCAACGTGTTCCAAAGGAAACAGAAATTACTTCTACATTTTCTAGAACTTTACTAATGGACGTTGTTTCGTGAAAAGCTTTCGGAATCCTGTTTGTGGTTGGAACGTTTCCAATCCACTAATGCCCCAACCCACGGCTGCTGCTTGGCCCCAGTGCCGTAGGGTAAATTGAGCACGCCAGGGGGCACACCACCGAACACAGTGTTTGGTAGCAAAACGCTCTCAGTGTGGGTGGCTGCCCAGTGACCAACATTGTGACAGAGACCTCCTTCTCACCCTGCAGCCGGCTCACAGCTGAGCAGGGACCACTTGCAAGCGGACTACTACAACAATTCTAGAAGTACAGAGTAGAAACCGAGGAACTAAAAATATGTTATAATCAATAAACAGAGTGCCATTCCAGCACTACCGAGAAAAAGTGAGTACCGTTAGGAAACTGTCAAGTATCTTTCCCTCTGTTACAGTTAGAATGGGAACTACAGGGCCAGCTGGCTGCTACCTGACCAAGGAGAGCCCTTGGGGAGAGTATGTATCTAGAGGCAGAACAGCCAACACTCTGTGCAAATTATTATACAGCAGAAGCAACAGGAAAAACCATGTAACCCTTCATCATTAAGAAATACGTCTTTATGGTACTACAGTAGCATGATGGGATAATTAAGCAGCGTCTTCACAATACCATTTTAATTCCTAGAAACATAAATTAAACTTCAATGTTTAGTAAATTCAGAAGTGGGGAAAAGAAAGTTAGTTTTTTAAAAACATAATTACATTATTTTTCCGTTCTCATTTTTAATATATCTTATCCACTGTTTTAGAATTTATGAAAAAAAACTGAGTCATGCTAAGAAAATAACACATAAAATATCACATATCTACCTCCCAGCCTCAGAAAACATAACAATATAGCTGAATCTTCCCATGTACCCCTTCCTGCTTGCACTCCGCAGAAGCAACTACTATCCTGAATTTGGTATCTATCATTGCTATGTGTTTCTTTACACTTTTCCAAATTATGTATGTGGCCCTAAGAAGTACACAGTGTTTCACATGTTTTCCAATATTATATACATGCAATTTGTTCATATTCTGAATATCTGCAGTTGCTTTGTTCACTTACTATTAAGTTACCAGGTGTAGCTCTGGTTAATTCATTTTCACTGATAACACAACATCCCACTGTATGACTACGCCACAATTTATCCATTTTCCTGTTGATGGATATTTAGTTTCTAACTGCTGACTACGATAATCAGAGGTGCTATGAACATTCTTACACATATCCTTTGTGTGCATGTTTAAGACTTTTCTATGACTATGGGGTATAGACATCTTCAATTTTACCTGGTCCTGCCAGACTTCCAAAGTAACTTTTGACAAACCATGCATTGTTAAACCTTTTTATTTTTCCAAATTAGTGGGAGCACATTGGAATCTCAGATTCCTAGTGAGGTCAAGCTTCTCTCCCTATGTTTACTAGCCATTGGCTTCTTCTCTTTCCCTTACACCACCTACACGAGATTTTGCTCAACTTTCTGTTAGGAGACTTGTTTTTCTTATGATTTGTAGAAGTTCTTGATATGAATTCTAATACTTTGTCAGTTTTACATGTTGTAAATAGCTTTTCCCAATTTGTATTTTGTCTTTTCACTTTCTACATGGCATTTTTAAATGAACTAAGAAACTTAATTGTAACAAATTCATCAATTTTAGTGGCTTATACATTTATGGCTTGTTTAAAGGAACTCTCCCTATTCCAAAGTCTTAAACAATTCTCTTATTTTTTACTAAAAGTAATAAAGTTTTGCTTTTCACAATTAGAACTTGAGGATACCTGGAATTGATTTTTATAAACATTGTAGAGATCCAATTTTTTCCCAAATGGACACCCAACTGTTCACCACCAATTGTAAAACAGTTCATCCTTTCCCCACTGATCTGTAATGTTCCCTCTCTAAAATATAATTTCCATATGTGTGGATCTGTGGATCTATTTCTAGACTCTCTCTTCTCTTCCACTAGCTTATTTACAAACCCCCAAGCCAATACCATAGCAATGACTACTGTAGCTTTACAATAAGTCTGCGAATTTAGAAGAGCAAGTACCCTTGCCTAGTTTTTCTTCTGGCCTATCTTGACTATTTCTGAGGTTTTGCCTTTCCAGAGAAACTTTATGATCAAGAGTGTCAGGTTCTACAAAAACAAACCAAAATAAGCTATTGGGATTTTGAAGGAAACGGCACTGATTCTATAGAACAGACAATATTAGACCTATCCAAATCCTACCTGAGACCATTCTGTATATCTCCCCATTTATTTAAGAACTTCCTTTAATGTTTTAAAGTTCTATAATTTTCTCCATAATGGTAACACATGTTTTCTATCTGATATACCCTTACTTACCTTATAATTATTGTTGTCATCTAAATGATACCTATTTTAAAAGTACATTGCTGGAGGTTTATTACTGATATAGAAAGCCAACTGGATTTTGTATATTGCATGTCATATCCAGCAACCTTGCTGGAACTCTTATAATGCAAATAATTTGTTGATTCACTTGGCTTGTCTACATAAACAATCCTATTGACTGCAAGTAAGAGAAGTTTCTTCTAATGTTTTTAATGGTCCCGTTGTAAGAATTCATTTGGCTAAAATTTCATCAGGATATAAGGTCACAAATTGTGACAAATACAAATGAAAGTTTAATGATCCTTTTTAATCTTTGTGTTTTTGACAAATGGTTAGTGATAGCACGTGACTTCTAGTCTTCACCCTAGGACTGAAAGAAGCTTTCAAATATTAAATGACAATGACAAATATAAAGGCATGAGAATAGCACAGACAAGGAAAAAAAGACAGGGCTGATATAACTTACCTCTTCCAGGAGATAATATAATGCCCAGTTGCTACTCCACCTTCAACATTTCCAACAGATGGGCACCGAAGACAAAAGCATTCACTAGCACTCTCTCCAGTCTGTAAAACAACTGCAAGAAATAGTTTTTATAATCCTTATGCAAGGATTTTCCCTATGAAAGGAGAGTTTCACCTCCGGTAATGGAACAAAAACAGAATATTTTATCAGTTATACATTACTTATAGAGACTTAAAAACTAAGGCTCAGAGATGTTAAATGACTTTTTCAAGGTCACAAAGTCCCTGTCCAGGTTTTCTTTCTAATATATCAATATTCCATTATAATAAAAAGAGGTGAAGCAGCTGTAGGTCTGTGACAAGTTCCTATGGGAACTAATGAAAAGTCTGGAGTCAGGATAATACCATTTGGTGATTATTTTTCTTTCTCCATATTACTTCGTGTCTCCGAAGAAAACATTTCACAGTAGGGAAAAAGAAATTTTTAGTTAACCCTTAGGGTACTCAAAATGTCATTCCAGCCAACTCGGGCTTTTCTGACAAACGCACATAACTGACACCATCAAATGGAAACACCTTATATGGTGCCTCGTTATTGTCTAATTTGGTTATTTACCTCTTACCCAAGGATGCTGTCCTCTTGCCAAATTTAGTCTAAACTCCTGATGACAAGACAAAAGCTCAACTGACCCGAGGTCTCCCTGCCTGTCAGCCCTTCGCAGCCTGGGGGGCCCTTCCTTTAATGCAAGCCAGCAACAGGGCCCATGGAGGACCGATGTTAGCACATCTGTGAGTGAAACTTTCAAACGATAATAACAAAGTCTTTAAATATTAACTAATTGTTTTTATGGTTCTCCAACGAAGAAGGCTGTGAGAAATTAATAGTTAGGTTGTGGGTAGAAACTGGAAGTCAAAGGGAAAAAAGCTGGGCCAATTTCTACATTAAGGCCTAGGAAATGATACTGTAGCCCGCTAAATAAAACACACATTAATTCAAACCTCTTAAGATACCTTTTTTCTCAGAACCTGGGACATTCATTCATATTGCCTCCCCCCTGCCCCATCTTGCTCCAGCAAGTCCTCCTTAATTCTAGGAAGTTAACCAAAATGATATAACCTTTATTAACAATTAACATTAGGGTCAACCTTATGACCTAGTGAAGTTGTTATTTTTAATATGTCAAACATAAATTTTGTAATGCATGAGTTCTGGTGTTCTTAGAGGTGGGAGACAGAATAATGCCATGCCACCCCCTTCCCCAAAGATATCCACATCATAGTCCCCAGAATGTTACCTAACCTGGCAGAAAGGACTTTACGGATGTGATTGAGATAAGGATCTTAAAATGGGAAGATTATACTGGATTATCCAGTTGGGTCCAATGTAATCATGAGGGTTATGACGGAAAGAGGAAGGCAAGAGGGAGCCTGAGAGAAAGGGGACAATGGAAGCAGAGGCAAGAAAAGAAACATGGGAAGATGCTACGCTGCTGGTTTTGAAACTGGAGGAGGGAGCCGGGAGCCAAGGAATCTAACTGGCCTCTGCAAGCTGAAAAGCGCAAAGGCAAGGGTTTTCCCTAGAGCCCAGAAGGAATGCAGCCCTGCCAACACCGTGATTTTAGGACCTTTGACCTCTAGAACCTTCAGATAAATCTGTGTTGTTTTAAGCCACCAACTTGGTAATTTGTTACAGCAGCAACAGAAAACTAGCAATGGGAAATTCAAGGTGGATGTTACTCATTAATTTAATAAACACTTATTAAATGCCAACTACTATGAGGCTGGCAATAGAAAGAGGATGATGTCATGGCTCCAGCTCTTCAAGAGCACACAGCGTAGTGCAGGCGCCATAACTATAAATAAATAATTACGATAGAATGGTTAGGTGTTATCACATGTACAAGATACTCAGGGAGTAAAGAAGGAAGATGACCCAGCCCTGTTTGGGAAGATCAAAAAGTCAAAGCTTACAGGAGTCCTAAAGAGCACACAAGAGTTCGACAGGTTGAAAGAAAAAGGAAAGGGTTGTGGGCCAAGGTACTAACATGTTCAAAACCAGAGGGAGGCGATGTTTGCTGACTGTAAAGTATGGCTTGCTCGAAGTCTGGGAAAGAGGAAGGGGAAGAAGAGAGGCTCGTGCAGAAGAAGCTGGAAAGGGAAGCTGCGCTGGGAAAGATCTGGAATGTCATGAAGCTTTTTAAGTGGGAATGACACGCTCAGAATAGTTTCTTGAGAAATCAAACTCTGGCAGCAATAGGAAAGGCAGAGTAGGGAGAGAATGGCAAAGAGGAAACCAGCTACGGAGGTATTCCTGAAGGCCAGAGGAGAGACGGGGACAGTCTCTGGATGGCAGACACACGAAGAAGGCAGAACGTGGTGCCGGGCTGGATGAGCATGCACAGAGGGCGTCTAGTTTGTCTCCGTGGGTCCTCGCTGGAACCAAGCGCGCACAGATTCCTCTGGCTGGACTGCGGGATGCAGGCGGCCTAAGGTTGTGTGGCAGGTAGAGACTTGTAGGAAAGGTAAAGGGAGCCAAAGTCAGGATCCTGGAAATGACCAACATTGAAGGGGCAAGGAAAGGAGCCAGCAAAGAATGGACAAATAACTAGCTTGTGTTGAGCTGTTAGGAGACGAGCACTGGGCTGAGATTTTCATATAGATTATCTCATCCAGACTGTCTCATACACATGATCTCCTTTAACTCTGAGAAGTGATAAAACCCACTGAACAGTCCAACATAACAAAAGAGCTAGCAGTAGGACTGAGAAGTGACTCTAAGTCTCGCGATCGTTCCAAGTCGGCACAGGGAGGACGAAAGGAAGAGGACACGGAAACAAAAGAGAACCAGCGGCAATGACTTCCAAAACCAGGAGAAAACCAAGTTTCCAAAGCCAGAAAAACAAAACTTACGAAGGCATTCTGAAAGCAAAAATGGGTTATTATTATTATTTCTTCACAGACTGTGGGACCTATCTGTAGCATTTAAACAGAGAGGTTTAGGGACATGTTTGATTTTATCTGTGTGTCCGTCCGCCCACCTATTTCACCCATCCTCCTTTATGATGACTTTCCTAAAATGCACAGAAGTGACTCTGAAGGCTGCTTGCTCTTTTGCTGTCTTGAGAACCTAGCAAGGCGCCATACAGTGAAATCGATAAATATCTGTGGATTATTTACTGATAGATGTTAAAACTTATTTATAGGCCAGATATAAAAAATACACTGGATTTCTAAAACTACTCAGCTAATTTTAATCTGTACTGCAAATCAACTATATGATTTGGAACACTGAAGTCCAGTAGTAGATAAACAAATAGAGCAAATGACTCATTTATATTTGGTTTTAAGAATATATCATGATTTTTTTGCATATAATGTTTACCCTTATAACATAGCTGAGCACAATTTTGCTTGGGTTAACATTCAAACTCATTTTTTTCTAACAGCTCAAGAAGCATACAAGCCCAAAGTATGATGCACCAGTTTAAACCTCTTCTCTATACTGTTTTAGTTGATTTAGAAAACTTATTGTCTACTCTTTTATATTTCCCCCAAGTTTCTTCAATAACCATCTTTTACCATTTCAAGTTATACATGATAGTAAACAATTAAAAATTAATAAGAAAAAAGTAATCTATAAAAAATCCAAATATGAAAAAATATTTTATTTTCAAGTACATTTTTCAAAGAGTAACTTCCTTATAGTAGCAAAAATCTTATCTTTTAAAATAAGGTATACTCAAGCAAATTGTAAATGATACTAATTCTACCTTAATTCTAAATTTATTCACTTTAGTGAGTATCAGTCTCAGTTACCCTCCCTTAGCAAAAAGCTAACTCTTACACTGGTAACCTACACACACAGCCACACACACACCCACCAACACACCCACCAACACACACACACACACACACACACACACACACCAACATCTGTCTTCTAATTAACTAGGATGATCCACATCCTCACCTTTGTCCACTTGGGACTCCAGCTGATCCACAGGAGTCATAGAAGGCGCAAGCTGGAGCTCACTGGATACAATAGTGAGGGCCCAAGGTGAGGCACTTAAAAGGTCCGTCATCAATAGAAAGGGGATGTCCGCATAGACCCTTTCCAGGTGTTCAAACTGTCACGAATGAAGACAAAAGGTCTGTCTAGAACTACAGTAATCCATTTTCCTTTTTCTGGTAATTTCTACAACTGAAATGATTTCCAAAATGCTTCACAAGAACATACCTTTGTAGAGACAAATTTAACCGCGACATCAAATGGAAAGACAGTTTCTATAGTTACAGTTTCATCCTGCAAGAAAATTTAAAGGGCACGTCCAATGGCTTTTCTAAACTTAAAAATAGTTTTAAAAATAGAAGGTGTATAAAACACAATCTGTAACTGATAATAAATAATCCCAATTTATATATTAAGAAGGTAGGATCTTCCCCTCAGATAATATTTGTAAAAACCTATGTAGAGAGACCAGACCACTATTTCTAATAAATTATCTTATGGTTTTATAACAGTTCACACGGCAAAGTGCTTTCTAACACATTAATTATCTCAGGATCTAGTAAAAGTGAGCAAGGCAGGCACTGTCACCATTTTACAGAAGAGGAACCAGAGGTTAAGGAAGGTTAAATGATTGGCCTCAGCCCACAAAGCTAGTGGCGCCAAGTCTAGAATCTGAGTCTTCTTTCTGTCTAAGTTCTTTACCTGGACTCAACACAAGATGACTAATAATAATGATAGTAACAATAATAAATATGACAGTGCTATAATCACTATACAAGCATTACGTAATGTTCATAATAACTCAAGGAAACAGATGCCATTATACTTGCCATTTTTTTCTAAGGATTTAAGATTTTATTTATTTATTTGAGAGGAAAAGAGAGTTCGCACACATGTGCGAGGGCGCGCACACAGGCACGCGCACACACGCAGTGGTTGGGGGGGACAGGGCAGAGGGAGAAGGAGAAGCAGACTCCCTGCTGAGCAGGGAGCCCGACATGGGGCTCGATCCCAGGCCCCTGAGATCATGACCTAAGCCAAAGGCAGCTACTTAACTGACTAAGCCACCCAGGCGTCCCTATACTCATCATTTTAAGATGAAGTGGTCACACATAGCTAGTAAGTGACAAAGGCAGATTTCACCCTTAAGCCTGTACTTTTAACCAACGTGCTACATCTCCTCCCTGAGTCTATTCACTAAACAATGGGGTTACTATGGCTTTGGAACCAAACCACCCATGCCATTGGTGAGAACCCTTTAAAAAAAAAAAAAGTCATGTTGATTAAAAACTCAGGCTGTAAAAATGCCAGGTGGATGTGGGTTTTAATCCTTGAGGACACATACTTATAACCCTGAGGACTTTGGGCACAGTGAGGTGACCCTGGGGAGGGGACATGGTCTCTGAGTCTCAGTTTCACGATCCTCACAGGGCTGTTGACAATGAAGTGAGACAACGCATATGCAGCACCAATGGAATGCCTAAACCATGTTTATTATTATTATATGCTTCAAACATTTCCTCTCAATACCATCAAGCTAACTTTTTAAGAAAGTGTAGTAAGTAGGATATTGATGGTTGAAAACGGATGCAGGGGTTCCATGATCTAAAGCCTAGGGCCTCAATATTCCCCCAGAGAAAAGATACATGGAAATGAAGAAGCAACTCAATGAGTAGCTTCGATGTGGCCTACTTTAAATTTCCACATGGCCTACGAAGCAGACACACATGCAGGTAAAAATGAGATTTAATCCAGTGAAGGGAAAAGAATTTACATTTGAATTTCCAAAATGTCTTACAAGTAACACCAGGACCTGTAAGACAGACATTCCATGAGAAAAGCGCTTCTTAGTAAAATAATTTTGAAAGATAATCACCACAGCCTTTTGTGAAATTCTCAACACACATTAGCAGATTCAATGCTGTGCTAAGCCCTGAAGTCAAGGTATCTGTTTAACACCTTTTAACCGAACTTATTTGACCAATTCATTCTTTTGTGTAACATCTATTTCTGTCCCTCAGAATTAGTGTCCCTTAAAAGCTTATCTTGGGAATGGACTGGCTGATAGAAAAATAAACAGCTTCTCTAAAAAACTAAAAGACAACCTACTGATGAGGAGAAAATGTCTGCAAATGACATATCCAATAAAGGCTTAGTATGCAAAATATATAAAGTATTTATACAACCCAACACCAGAAAAAAAAAAATCAAATAATCCAATTAAAAAAATGGGCAGATGACATTTTGTGTGGACAACAGTACGGAGGTTCCTCAAAAAATTAAAAATTGAACTACCGTGCGATCCAGTAATTCCACTACTGAGTATGTACCCCAAGAATATGACAACACAGATTCAAAAGGATATATGCATCCCTATGTTTACTGCAGCATTATTTACAATAGCCAAATTGTGGAAGCAAACCAAATGTCCATCAGTAGATGAATGGATAAAAAAGACGAGAGGCACACCTACACCCACACGGTGGAATACTACTCAGCCATCAAAAAGCATGAAATCTTGCCATTTGCAATGACACGGATGGAGTGAGAGAGTGTGATGCTAAGTGAAATAAGTCAGTCAGAGAAAGACAAATACCATATGATTTCACTCACGTGTGGAATTTAAGAGACCAAACAAATGAAGAAAGGAAGAAACAAACCAAAAGACTCTTAACTATAGAGAACCTACTGATGGTTAGCAGAGGCCAGGGCGGTGGGGGCATGACAGAAGCAGGGGAAGGGGATTAAGAACAAGCGGCATGCATCTCCGTAATATCACGCCCTGAGGAGAAGAGAGCACTGCACACCGCGGTAGTGTGATTCTGGGATCGTTACTACAGAGCAGACAATTATTTTAAAAAGGTATGTTCCAAGTCTACTAGAAGCTTCATTATCCGAAGTAGAAATGACATCTGAGGCTGAGGACTCTAAAGCTGCACAGAACAGTACTGTTCTTGTTTTAGAGATGAGGAAATGGAGGCCAGAGGTTTCCATGGCTAGCCTGAGCGCCAGGTTAGGAGGCCACGCTGAGACTGGCACTCTCACCTCCTCCTCCGCCCCCCAGGATTCATTCCAGTGCATCGGGCTAGGTGAAGCCTTTGATATCTTCAATGCCTTCCCTCCTTCCACTTGGGAAATACTCCCAACTCTCTTAGGATGGGGTTGCCTCCCACTGACTCACGAAACAGCCGATGGCCCAGAATCTGCGCTATAACCTTCCTACAAATGGCCAGACCGACTGGCCTTCTCCTCTGCTGGCTGAGGGCCCACTTCCGGAGAACAGGCCGAAACAACACAGGAAGACTAAGCAGACAGTAGATACCGAGATTTTCCGTTACTAAAAGAAGACACAAGCAATTCCAGACAATATGGTTAAATCTAAATAAAAACATGGCTCCCCCAAACCACTGTAAATAGAGAAGAGACCAACAGAAAATACACCAACGAGGTGACAGCAGTGGCCTCCAAGTGGCCGACTATGACCATGCTGGCCTTATTTCTACCCTCTACCTGCACTTAGCAGCAACAATTTCCATAGTCCTTTCTAACAGAACAAAGATTTCATAAAGGGAGACCTCCCATCCTCCAAAATCTTCAGTGTATAACCAACTTACAGATTTTGTCTAATGTGTGATTTTATAAGGAAATACATAGGTTTAGAGTCTCAAACTTTTTGCAAAAGATCCCAAATTCCTTGACCATACAAAAAGCCATGGAGGCCAATTTTCTGAAGTGTGAGCAATGACAGCCATAGTATATCATTTATAATAGTTATAAATGATTAAAAAAAAACAAGAAATGTTTAATTAAAATTTGTAAATTAAAAAAAAAAAATTGTTAATAGATTACAAGCACCTAAGCTGTTCATCTTGTTACAGGTAAACTAAGAAAACACAAAATAGGGAATACTCCACACAGGAACCTTCCTGAAGTAGCTATGAAAAATTCTACCTTGGGGCGCCTGGGTGGCTCAGATGGTTAAGCGTCTGCCTTTGGCTCAGGTCATGATCCCAGGGTCCTGGGATTGAGCCCCGCATCGGGCTCCTGGCTCAGCAAGGAGCCTACTTCTCCCTCTCCCTCTGCCTCTCTCCCTGCTCATGCTTTCTCTCTCTCTCTCTGTATCTCTGTGTCTCCAATGAATAAATAAAACCTTAAAAAAAAAAGAAAAAAGAAAAATTCTACCTTGTGACACTTGCAAACAATTTCTTTGTCTTCAATAGTTGTATTGATCAGGTAAGAAACATACACGAGAAACATTCTTGAACCCACTGTTCCACAGCGAACGTATAACATTTTTTCCAGCTGCAACAAAATAAAAGTACTTTAATAATTCAGAGATTTCCTCCTGACACATACGCTAGGATAATGTTGCCCACCTTTTAAAAGTTTATTGTACCAACTGACTAAATTCTTGAACACTTTTTACAGGCTGTTCCTGCCTCAATATAAGAGTGGGATCATTACTATTCCACCTGTTCTTACTATCATTAGCAACTTCCTAAGACTGTGTTTAGTTCAGAAATAAAAGCTGCCTGAGGGGTTATTCCACTAAGTTACACACTTAACGTTATTTAGGTATTTTATCAAGGCAACTAGTTCTCCATATTAGGGTCATTTGCTCTAAAATCACTCGTATAAAAACTGCTTACAACATTTTACACATTTAAATATGTAAAATGTGTATAAAATGTGCATTAGTTAAATCCCATTTTTAGCCTCAGGATATGCTGTTAAAATGCTCTAGAACTATCTAAGACTCACTACATATTTAAAACTGCAATCTAGTTGCTTTCCTCTCCCATCATAGTTGACCAAGGTTCACCTGTTCCCCCGGATGTAAGTCTCCCACGGGAATGTCAGTGAGTAAAGCCGGGTAGGACTCATCACACAGTTCTGTTCCATGAAGAGACACGTGCGTTTTCTGAGTTAAATTGGCATCCTGTCCTAAAAGTGTTAATATCGGTGTTTTAAATACAGAGAATTCAAACTTTATCCTAACAATTCATACCGCACAGCCCATTTCATAACTACTTCATAACCATATTTTAAATACACTTCCTGTAGTTGACACCACTGATATTTGTTTTATGTTGAATGAACACTGACCAATTTTTAAAAAGGAATGTTTACCGGGTTTTAAACCAGCGGTGAGCTTCACGTCTCTGATTCGGGTCTTCTCGTGGGACTCAACGGTCACAACCAAACAATACATTTCATTGGTCAGGGCAGGAGGGTCATGTCGCAGATGCACAGAAATGTTTGGAACTCTGGAGATGATCCTTTGGGGAGAAAAAAAAAAAACCTTAGCTGAGTAAACCGATTCTTAAGAAAACAAGTTATTCAAACAAAGTATTTAGAAGAAACAAGATGGCCTTCCACAGTCTGCCTAGCAAGGTGGACGTACATTGTGCTTGCCTGAATGACTATGCTGTCCCAGTGAAGTTCACTGTCAGGGAGCTTAGGCCGTCTTTTGAAAGAACGCGAGGCCTGCAAGGCTTCTTGGGAGGAAGCGGCGTCCCCTCCTCCTCCTTGCCAATTTAAAACCACACATCTTCCCGTCTCGTGGCCCAGAACCAGATCTACCGAAGTAATCTGAAAGATGGAGGGCTGTCAGAAATGCCACCTCATACTTGTCACCATCCCCTTGCGACAAATGACATAGTGATTGCTGGTCTGCCGAGTCCCTCTAGAGACCCACAGGGTGATGAGGTCAGAACACCTGCTGGGGCAGCTGTCCTGGTCATCTATTAGCTGTGACACTGACTAGGTTCACCTTTAAACGGAGATAAGAACCTGACGTAACAGATATGCTCAGTTAGTGGTTGCTGAGTGAAATACATCAATGGTTTGATGACCATTAGCATACTCATAACCTAATTCCTAATTCCAAACGTGTTTTTCCCGAAGACATCTATAATATTATTAACTGAATAAATGTCCCTTTCAACTAAATCCATTAACAAATGTACTCAAAATAGTGTTATTAATTATGATTTCCACCTGGTAAGCTTCCTTAGGTACCTTGCAAAAATAAAATATGTAATTAGGGATTTAGTCAAAATCAAAGAATTTTTTTTTTAGTGAATAAGCAAAAAACTCTGGATTTTGGTTAATAATAAAATGGACAGGTTCACAGAAAGTGTCATGGGAATACTGGTAGTATAGTCTTATGTTTCCTAGAAATGGTCGTAAGTTTAGATCAGCCAAATATCATCATGGTTTTCAAGCCATAGAAAACAAGCACTTAATGAAAGCTTACTATGTATTAATCACTATTCCAAGCAATTTACATTAACTAACTGATCTAACCCTCATGAAACACTAAGAGGTAGGTACCATTATTATCCCCACTTTACAGATGAGTAAACTGAGGTACAAAGAGGTCAAGTAACTGGCCAGGGCCACACGCTAGTAAGCTGGAGAGGTGGATTTAAACCCATGTGGTTTGCTTCAGAGTTTATGCTCAATAAAAATAATATTTTCATCATATATTTCTAAAAGGCATTTTAATTACGAATATTAAAAGAATCCTTTAAAATATATATGTCTTCATTTTTCTTTAAAAATATGCGATCAGAAATGTTTAAACCTCAAAATGATATAGCTCTCTAGCCTGAATTATGTCATATTATACAAAATATAATTGCTACAGTACTTAATATATGTATTTTGTTTAAAAGTCTTTAACTGATTATGTAGTCATCAAAAATGAGGTTGGTCTTATGTACTAACAGGAAATGATGCCTAATATCCACTGGTAAGTGAAAAAAAATCAATGATAGAATATTATGTATAGTATAGTCTCAAAAAAAGAAAACCCACCAAACCATGAATGATTGTCCTTGGGAAGTCCAAGTGGACGATGTTCATTTTTTTACTCAATAAACTTGTGTACTATTTGAAATTTTTTCTGACATACACATACTTTTGTCACTTAAAGTATGTTTTAAACAAATTTCATAACTAACCTCAATTTTCTTTCCCACGTCTTCAGTTTTTGCAACAAATTTAAATAAAAACTTCCTTGTTTTACCAGGAACTAAGCACATCTTTCCCTGAGTCAAATTTTCTAAAACTTCACTTGCTTTGGTTGCTTCTTCGATTACACAGAACTGGTTATATTCCTGTAAAAGAGGTCAGAGCGAGGGTCACAGTTTATAAACATCAAATGTCATATGCTTTGCTGACACTGAACACCAAATGATCTGGAGTGAGGTAAGTTTAACTGCTCGAAAACTAAAGCCTCACGAAGGGTGAATAATGAGAAGTAGCTTATGCCCAATGGAAGCTAATCCTCTCCGAGCTACCACAAGGTAAGGAGACAGTTCACCGTGTACAAGCTGATTTCTGTAAACATTTACACATCCCTTTCATTTGGGAGGAACAAAGATTTATTCTTTGTTTCATTGGATGCTTCTGTCTATCATCCCCTTTTCTTAAAGAGCTTTCTTTTTACTTAGCTTCTGTGACCCTATGATATCATCCTTCCTGACTACTTCCTGTTTTTCCCTCAAAGGTCTTTTTTTTCTTCTTCTTGTCCCCTTAATTCAGAGGCTCCACAGGCTTCATTCCTTGGCTTTCAGTTCTTTTCCCTTTATGTTCATTTCATTGCAAAGTTTATTCATTTCTATACATTCCACACCTCTATGCTAATATTTCCCACATTAAAAACTAATTCTGTCCTATTTCCTTGGCTGATAGTTCATATCCACAATTGTCTAGAGGAGAATTCCACTACCACTCAAATTTAGCATGTCCCAAACTGGATGTACAACTACCGGCCCAGAAGGGCACATTACTTACAGATGAGTAAAGGGAGACATCCTTCCTGTGTACATCTAGACAATCACCATTCTCACCCATTCAAGAACTTTCCAAGAGTCACCTTCTATCCTAGCAAATGAATTATCTTCACAGAAAATTCTTATAAGTTTAATACTTTCCCTCTAATTTTCATTTCTATTCCATGCTTCTGAAACCTAAGTACTACTTTTTTTTTCTTATGATTTGTATCTTGGATTTCAAATAACACATATGCAGAATATAATCTAACTTTAAAAACTAATTGCTTTACATTTTATATTAACATTTTAAATTAGTTTTTATTTATAGAAGTTGTTAAGAAAAGAGGGGAGAAAGAAATGGGACAGTAGGATATAATAAGAAAAGTAAAAAAAGAATCTATTTATCCTCTAATTCCAGATTTAAAATATTTCCAAAAAAAATTTCATAGTTGGGCAAAAAAAAATTATCTGTCCTAGGAGAGCTTATAAAGAAAATAATTTACCCAAAAACCATACAGACAAAAGTGAAAGCACAGCTGTGATAAGTACTATGGAGGGTTATGGCTAGGAATATCCATAGGGTAGGCAGGGATGGTGTCCCTGCGGAAGTGAGGCTTTTAAGGGCATCACACACGAGAAGGAACTGTAAGAGGAGGGACAACCAATCCAAGAAGTAACATCACGTACAAAATCCCGTCATACTACTGAGTGATCTCACTTACATATGGAATCTATAACCCACAGAAACAGAGTAAAATGGTGGATGCCAAGGGGTGAGGAAAATGGGAGATGCTGAGCCAAGGGCACAAACTTGCAGTTATGAGACAAATAGGCTCTGGGGATCTAATGTGCAGCATGCAACTATAATTAATCAAACTGTATTATATACTCAAAAGTTGCTAAGAGAATAGATCCTACATGTTCCCACCACAAAAAAAAAGGTAATTATGTGAGGTGATGGATATTGAGGAACCTTACTGTGATCACCATTTTGCAATATATATATGTTTCAAATCATCATGTTGTAGGTACACTTAAAACTATAAAATAAACAAATAGTTATTGGTGGGGGGAGGGAGGGCGGTCCTTCATTCATCCTATCCCCCTTCTTCTTTACCTTCTACAACAAACACTCAGCAATCCAGGCTTCTCTATCTGTAAATACCTCTTGTAGCCCTTTCTTTCCATTGCCACCACTACCACCCTAATGCAAATCCTCACACTTTAGTACTTGGGTTCATATAAAGAGGCTCCGGTTGGTTTCCACAAGAGCATTTCTTTCACCCTATTTCATCACTGGAATAAAGTTTCTTAAATTCTAAATATCATGCTCTTGCTTTAAAACTCTCAAACTAATCAGAAGGAATCATCGGGTAATGGTTCAAAGTTGAATAACAATGATCTGGTTCATTGAACCAATCCTATTCCAGGGTTATTTCTCAGTTGTGAGGAGTCAAAAAAACAAAAACAAAACAATTAAGATAAGTAAAGCTCTTTCTTTACCACCATCCAATAAATAGAACATGAATAAATGAATGGATAAATAAATCTTCAAATACTTCTCTTACTAGCCAATCCCTGCTGAACTCTTCAAGCTCCTTCAAGCCACGCGGGCTCATGTCACACTGGCCCGGCTCACAGCCCCTCCGCTCTTGGGAGGCTGGGGGTCCCCGCTGCCCACAAACCCAGAATGTACACTCCTGCTTCCACTGGGCGCTTCCTCTTGCCAAACACGTTCCTCCTTTCTCATCGCTTTACGGTATCTTCATTTCCTCTTTACCCCTGAAACCTCTTCCCTTTTCTTTGGCATGCCTACTATAACTGTATTTCTAGCCTATCATATAACTTAGTCCTCACTACCTACTAGGGCAATTTGTGGGTCAGTCCTGGTCCCTGCCCCCAAAATGCTTCCATTTCAATGGGGCTGACTTATGCTGAATGCTTTGAGGTTCACCACGATGCTAAGAATATTTGCTGGTTAAATGCCTGCTGCTTAACGGCTCAATATACTTTCCGGGTGACCAGAAGATAATTATCTCTGAAATAAGCTTGGAACTGAAATATTTGGAATGTAATCAAGTACTTGCCAACATTCTAATACGTTAAAGAAATGTACAGATGTATATAATCCCAGTTCTGCAGAAAGAAAAAGCTGCTTCTATGTGCATACACAAAAAACGTCTCAATTGTTCAGGAAGTTAATAGTGATGACTTCCGGGGAATGAAATCAGAGGGCACACGCTTACTTTTCATTTTATATCCATCTATTCCACTTCAATTTCTTTAACAACAAATATTTAACAGTTTTATAATAAAAAAACTAATACCAGTGTTAGAATGTAAAACAAATGATTCTGAAAATTAATTATATTTGATAGACCTCATTTGAAATTCAAGTTATATATTACAAAAAATAAAAGTTCCTACATTTCATAGGATGGAATAAAAACAAAACAGAGAGGGAAAAGTGTAAAACTTGAATGGCTAGTACAGAAGTTTATCCACTTATTTTCAAATAGACTTTACCAAAGTCCATTTGTTACTATACAACCATTAAGACCTAGAATTCGCTAAGTTCATTTCATCTAATTTAATGCAAGCTACAGTAAGATACACACATGGTAAAAACACAATAAGAGGTACTGTTACCTGATTATTAAAGCTGACACAGAGCTTGGAAAACCGAATGGGATGTGGACAGTCAGCCTTCAGATAGATATCAAATCGCACAGGAACATCAACATGAAAACTCGGGGCGTGAAACTTGGCTTTGCATTGTACTAGAAATAAAACAAAGAGAGTCACACACTACAGGACCCTCAAGACACATACCCATGATTCGCTGATCCACACTCACTCTTCAGGAAGGAAACATCTACCCTGGATAGTCTTACTGAATTCTGCCCTTAAAGCATTTCAACACACATAAATGCAGCTCATTTTCAAAAAAAGAAAAAACACAAATTTAAAGAAAGTATAACTTCAAAATCACCTTTAATTCTAAAAACACAGTTGCTCCTGAAACGTAACTAACATAGGAGTTTAAAGGGAAAAAAATCATTTTGTTTTTTTTAACTTATTTCAAAATACCTGCCTAGGCATTACAGAATAAGCTTTTTAAAGGACGGTCTTTTCAAATGTATTTCCAATCACACTTAAACTACAAACGAACAAAGTAAATTTGAATACATAAGTTAAGGATTTAAAATTTTGAAAATCTTTATAGGTCAACGGGGAGAAAGAAAAAAAATCACACTTTCATCTACAGGATGACATATTTTGAACATTCTTTGACTTTTATATTTATGGTTCCACGTCTGTTCATTTTGTAGCAAAAAGGATGATTTCTCTGAAATGACACTACAGGCGCTGGCTACCCACCGAATGGCACGAAGTCCTGCACCCCTATTGTGAAGACACCGCTGCCGGCCAGGGAGACTCGGTCCGACCACAACTTCTGAGCCGTCTTCACGGCTAAGACATCACAGTCAGGTTCCGGATCAGGACTCTCATTCTGCACAAACACAGAGTACAATTCGTTCAGCTAGCGATAAAAATACACAAGATACAGGTCTAGATATCCCCAGGGTGCCTTTTATAGAAAGAACTCCGACTTACCATCAGAACATTTATGAGGTTCTTTTCGATCCGAGATTTCTGGTCATCTTTCAGAGTTGAAGCTAACATGAAGGAAGTAGGAAAATAACTGTCACTGTAAGACGGGCCCGTAAGGCCACCACCCCCAAAGAAGGTATTAAAATACTACAGAATAAATACCTCTTCTAAGATGGCTAAGCACAATTCCAGACAACGCACAACAACACAGCTTCCTACGTGAGCCCCAATGCTCTAGATACTCGCATTTGAACTTGATGGGAAAAATCATTTCAGGACATATTAAAAAAAAAAAAAAGAAAGAAAGGAAGAAGAATTTTGTTCTTCTCAACTATCATGACACCTCAACTATAGTAAGTTCCATGAAAGTATGAGTCCCTTCACTTGGCAAACCGATCTAAACAGGGTGAAAAGTACAGTCAAAGATTCGAGAATTATTCTTTCAGTTTTAAGAAGCTTAAAGACGCTACATAATTTTAAAGATTCAGAATTTTACTGAAAGAACACCAAGTTACCTCTTCCAAGGAGTTCTAGGGAGTAAGTAATGTAATCTTTTAATTGGGCCATGAGGTAGGAGCACTTCAGAGCTGTAGTCAATATGGACGTGAGCAGGGTCCACCATCCTTCACTCCGATAATCACACATCACATAATCCAGCAACCTGACAGAAGGCGAGATGTCATCAGACACGCTCAAACAGCTTCACAAGAAAGGCCTTGAAGACTTCTTGGAGGAGATAACATGCTTGACTCATTTTATATACACGTCAGAAACTCTTACTGAAATCGTTTAACAGGCAATTTCACGTTTAGCTAAACGTGGTTTCCTAAGACTCTGAGAATGATTGTACCAGCAGAGAGTACTTGAAAAAAACACCACAGAAATGGAGTTTCATAGAAATAGAAATAAGTATGGAAGTAATAAATCCTTCAAAACACATTTCTGTTCTCATTTTGCTGTAAGGTAATCAGATTACTTATAAAAATAAATGGGGAACAGGACTCACTTCAAAGCTTTGGTATAATCCTTTGCATAATAATACTCCTCTCCCATTTGAACCACTGTAAAGGGAAAAAGATCTTATGTACATAATTCTAAATTATTCAAAGTGGCATGAAACTGTGGCATGTTATGAATACATACTTAGATGACTTTTCATTCTTGGACATTTATACTTCTTAAATTGTGCAACAGCATTGCTCAGAAGAGTTATTATTATTTCCTGTTAGAAGAGAGAAAGTGTGAAAGATTCCAATAAAAATAATCTCAGGTATTCCTTGAATACTGCAAAAAATAGTTTCTATTGGGGGAAAAAACAACAACAAACTTACAGAGTGAACAACACTTCTCTCCTTCAGCTGAATGGCAAGAATTCCCACCTTCTCTTTTTCAGGATCAGAAAGATCAAAACCTGTGTAAGATAAGATGTAACCCATTTCAGATGGCTCATTTAACATAAATCCTTCACATGAACATTGGAAGCGTACACTCGTTGAATCCTTTACTTAAATATAATGTATTTAAGATTCTTAAACATTCTAGAATTTTAAAGATTCTAGGAGACTGCTTTATTGGCATGGCAACTTCTCTGTGATCTCTGTTCTGAAGAGAACATTATTGAACTCAGCATTCTCTTGCCCAGTGGAATCAACCACCTGAAGAATAATACCAACATCATTCTCAATATAGAATACGCTTTCTGGAGATTAAAGTAAATAATTTCTTAACAATTAAGATTTGATTGCCACAGAAATTGCTGAAATTAAGTGTTTATCAAACCCAAAAAAGACGCAGAGAAATTTCTAAGGTGATACAAGTTAATACTGCTTTAAAAGATCTAACATAGTAAATTGTCAAAGTTAACCAGAATTAAAATATTTCAATAGACCAAAGTGGTTTGTTAATTGTGTCATTTAAGACGAGAGGTGTACAAATGTTTTAATCACACTCACGTTTAATTACAAGTTATTCTAAGATGTAGTGATACAAACAAAACATCCTAAAAACTAAAGAACTGAGGAATCTTTAAAAAGATATCTAGTGGTGCCTGGGTGGTTCAGTCGTTAAGCGTCTGCCTTCGGCTCAGGTCATGATCCCGGGGTCCTAGGATCGAGCCCCACATCAGGCTCCCTGCTCCGCGAGAAGCCTGCTTCTCCCTCTCCCACTCCCCCTGCTTGTGTTCCCTCTCTGGCTGTCTCTCTCTCTGTCAAATAAATAAAATCTTTTTAAAAAAATTTAAAATTAATTAATTAAAAAATAAAAAGATGTTTAAAAAACACACATTTTTACCTCAACATAATTTGTTACAGCCTATGTAGCCAATGGAAAGACTGTGATAGCAATCTGTGCCTTCTGAGGTTGAGAGAAAAGGAAGGAGGGAAAAATTATTTACTTAGTATTCCTTGTCGCCATGATCTTTGTCCATAAAAGTCAAGAACGCCTGTTTGTGTTTCTAACGGATCAGGATTGGGGTATGTTACAGAAGCCTGTAAAATAAAACACAGCCCTAAATAAGAGTTTATGAACCTATCACAAACCGATTCACCTTCAAACTCTGACAGAATAAAAATATTTTCATAAATACAAATACTAAACATATGTCCAGATATCAGTTGTGAATATTTTAACGTACACTAAATTTTCACAAACGTGAAAAAAAATGTTCCATTTAATACCTAGGCAGTTTCATAAGAATTAAATAAATCAACCTGATTCTGACAAATGATTTCATAGTAACTAACTCCTTAATATTCTTTTCATCTTTGCTCTAATAAACCAGTAAAAATTTTGACAGTTCTGTTTGATGTTTATTCCAAATGTATAAGTGCTTTTTGTGCAAATGAAAATAATGTGATAAGGAGTTTTAAAAAGAAGATACTATTTTCCTTCTTTATCACTTGTGTATTAAGTCCTGGTATTGGTTCGGGAGGGATATTTTTGGCACCAGAATTTATAAATTTACACTGCTTTATTTTTCTTCCTTGTAATTTTTTCCCTCTGAAACCAAAATATAATGCAAGTACATTGCTGAGAAATACAGAAAACATCCAAAAGGAAAAGGACAAAAATCTAAATCACCTATAAATCTATTACCACTATTAACAGTGTATACATTAGGGCGCCTGGGTGGCTCAGTTGGTTAAGCGACTGCCTTTGGCTCAGGTCATGATCCTGGAGTCCCGGGATCGAGTCCCATGTCGGGCTCCCTGCTGAGCAGGGAGTCTGCTTCTCCCTCTGACCCTCTTCCCTCTCATGCTATCTCTCATTCTCTCTCTCTCAAATAAATAAATAAAAAATCTTTAAAACAACAACAACAACAAAAAAACAGTGTATACATTAGGCTTCCAGATTTTGTACGCAAATATTTGCTACCAATCGGAATAATTTTTCAAACTGCTTTTTTCATTTGAATATATTCTGTAAATTTCACATCATTAAATATTCTTCTAAAACATTATTTGTCATGGCTGCCAGCTGTCCCACATTTTAACAAATTCCCCATGTTGTTCATCGTGTTATTTATTTTTTACTTTACGATTAATAAGTCTGACCAAAGAACTTTGTAAGTAAATCTTAGTACTTCTCTCTTAGGATCTCTTATCTGCCTGAGACTTCCTGAAGATAGAATTCTGGGTCCAAAGATATGCATGATTTTGAGGCTTCTCAAATTATTATTTGACAGAAATATTATTCTACACTCCAACTAAGGATATCTGTTAATCCCATTTCCTTATACTCTTATGAAACATAGTTTTAATCACCTTTTAAAATACTGTGCTCAAATTTTAATATGCTTAATTTTTAAATATAAAACATGCAATGAAGTTATAAATCATACACAAGTAACGTGGTAGAAAACAGTGTAGTTAGATCATGATTTAAGGAAAAAAAAAAAATCCAACATTTTAAGTACTAACATGCAAACTGTTTTTGGAACCGTTTTTCAAGTAGCACTGTTGATAATGTTCACCTGTCTTCAGAGAAGAAAACTGCAGATTTTAAAGGAAAATAAACTGATAGAACTGTACAAATGTAAATGTATTTATACATATACATACCACATTTTTTAAATTTTAAAGGTGCTTATGGGGAAACTGGTATCTAACCATAATCACCCACAAGGAAGGCAAAATGAAATGTCAAGTTAAGAAACTGCAATTAACATTATGCCTCGAACAGATTCTTAAGAATTTTCCACAGAGGAAAACCCCAGGAAGAAAAACAAGTCTGAAGTTATCCTCTCTGGTGGGTCAAAAGAAAGCATATTCCTCCAAAGTCCTTCAAACTCCTATGGCAGTGATCAACAGGAGTTACAGCATGGCTCAGACTAAACTGTGACTTTTATTTTAAAGTAATTTGCCCTTGTCTTATTGCCAATCATAAGTCAGTTCTTCACAGAAAAACGTCTGCTTAATCCACAGGTGGAAATGGAGTACTCAGACTAAAACCGAAAATAACCGTAACTCCTGAAAATACAGAAGATAAAAACTGATTCTATTCAAAGGCTTGGAAAAAAATTATGAGCATCAATTAGTCTTATCTTCTTTTGAGAGAAGATTAATACACTTCCTAAGCACCAGATAATACTGGAGTCGGTAACTTACTTCATGGTTACAGAGGGTTTTTGCAAGCTGCTTCCGCTCCTGGGCATAGTATGCTGCCTGCTGGTAATAGAAACCAGGATTCTGAGTTTGAATAGCTGTCAACCCTAACTTAATAGCTTCATCAAATAAATCTCCAAAGGCCTGGAATCTTAAAGAAAAAAAAATCAAGAAATAAAAAAAGGATGAAAAAGAAAAAGGAAAGAAAAAGAAGCTTACGTCTAATAACTATTCATCCTGGAAACATAACCTCAGCAGACTGTGTCAAAATAATGCTACTGATGAACTGTAAATTGTTGGGTTTCTTGATAAATACTACACACACTAATTACGGGTTACAGATAACTTCTGCATTGAAGTCGACTCTTCTGTACTGACAAAGCGTTACAAATATACCACCAAAGTGTATGTCAACACAGTTCCCACCACTCAAATACAACCATGTTTCTGGCAACAATTTCATTTTAGAATTTTTAAACATCAGTCTTGAATAGCCAGTACCATGCCAGCAGGGATTTTTTGCTCCCGGCTATAGTCTCAGTACCTAGGCACGTGGAGGAAACTCCATAAATACATGCTGAATGAAAGAGATGGTACCATGAATTAAGTGATTTCCATTAAGGAACTCTATGAACCCTATGCTAGCTAGATCTCTAAAATGCCTACTTACTGACAAAAAGCTTAGCTCAATTGAGAACCAAAGTCCATGCTAATTCCACTCCTCCAAACCCCAAGTACTTAAAGAACAAAAATTCTAAAAGTATAATTTAAAACATACTGTTTAGACATCCATGCAGCATGCTCAAAAGACAACTCTGCACTTCCGATTTTTTTCTTACACAAGTCAATGTGTTTTCGGAACTGAGCAATTGCATCCAATGGGGTGTTGTGCTGAAAACACAGCCTACAGATCTGCAAAATGTAAAATCAACCCCAAAATAAAGAAGAAAATAGAGTCAAAAGGCATATTCATTTAAAAATATGTAAAATGTGAGACTAACTTTAGAAAGACAATGACATTTCCTCTCTTAAATTCTTGGTAATAGAACGGATTTTCTCTATTATAATGGCTATGCTAAAATCAGCGGTTATATCCCCTGGATGAAGGAAATAAATTTACCCACATCTGTACTGAGTCTATTGTATACCTTAGAAAAGCTTATTCGAAGTATAGAATAGAATAAAAAAATTATACCCAACGAAGAACATAAGGATGGACGAAAATAAAATACTACTTCCTCTAGGACAGATAAACATTGTTTTAGAATTGGCAGAAAGCTAAAGATTTTCTGTACCACCATTACAGCATAGTGGCCTCCATATCACTCCTGAAAACTTTTTATCTGGAATGCTATCTCAAAACAATAATCATCTATATCTACGTAAGTAAAAGGAAAAACAGAAGAAACGAAGCCTAAATTTATATCCACATGCTTATCATCAGTTTTATACTCTAGGTACAAGGAATACATGAAAAGTTAAGTCTCTCATCCACCTCTGTCCCTCAGCCATCCAATTTCCTGTTCCAGAGGCAACCAGCTCCCAGCATGTTCCATGATACAGTCTATGCACGGACAAGTATA